TTTTCTTCTGGTTCTTAGATGGTGTCAGGCCTCGAGTCTACATCTGTTCGCCCATGCTTAGTTGAGGTTTGCGTTGCAGCATCCTCAACTTGGTTATGTGATTGCTATTTGTCTTCGCTTTTTGCGCTTGCATCTGCTACGGAATTAATGCTTCGAGACGCTTGTTGGTCACTACGTATTTGCCGTATTCCCCATGGTGAAGGGAATTTGATAACTTGATGCAAAGTGGATGAAACAACATCCATCTCATGAATCCATGGTCTACCAAGAATCATATTGTAAGCCATATCCATTTCTACTACTTGAAATTTGGTGTCTTTGACTACTTCTTCTACGAATGTGGTGAGTATTATCTCGTCTTTTGTCACGACGCTCGAGTATTCAAAACTGGACAAAGTATGAGCCTTGGGTATCAGCTTATCATCAGCTTGCATCTCATTCACCACTCTCAACAGAATGATATTCACCGAACTACCTGGGTCAATCAAAACTCGTTTTACATTAATGTCATGTGCATGTAAAGATATTACCAGTGCATCATTATGCGGGGTTAGCACGCCATCTGCATCTGCATCAGCAAATATGATACTATCTTCTTCCAAAACCTGTCGAACTCGCTTCTTGTGGGTAATTGTAATTTTTGACACTTCCTTTGCTGCCGAGAATGTTACGCCATTAATCTCTTCTCCTCCACTTATGACATTAACTATCCTTTTTGGTGAAGGAGGCTTTGATGGTTCCTGCCTATTCTTCATATATGCTTGCTTTCCTTTTTCACTAAACAATTCAGTTAAATACCCTTGTTTTAATAAATGTTCTACTTCACCTTGTAATAACCTGCAATCCGCCGTTTTATGACCGTGATCATTGTGAAACTCGCACCAAAAATTTGGATTTCGCCTGTTCGGGTTTGATCTCATTTCTTTTGGCCAGCGTACCTTGTCCCCCATGCTCCTTAAAATAGCTACCAACTCGGATGTGCTAACATTAAAACTGTAACCTCCGATCTTTGCTTTCGAGCTTCTATCATCATCTCGTGTATCCCGCATGTTTCGTTCCTTGCCAAACCTTGATAACGATCCTGACTCTCTGTCTTTTGATCTAGAATCATACCTTGGGTTTTCCTGTTTTGAACGCGAGTCTCTTCCTGCTGGTCTTATGTAAAGTTCGCACCTGTTTTTACCGGACCTTTTTTCAGTTTCAGCTCGCCTTGAACTTACCCTTTCATCCCTTCGAGATTGAATGATGGTATCTTCTTCTATCCGTAGCTTTGTGTTGTATCTGTTATAAACATCATTCCAAGTTGTTGCTGGAAACTCTCGTAAACTTTCCTTGAGTCTCCTCGTGGCTTCTGAACTTCTTTCATTTAGATTACTGGCAAATGCCATAGCTGCCCAGTTATCAGGTACATGTGGCAACATCATCCTCACGCTGGAATCTGTCTACGAATTCCTTGAGCAGCTCCACATCTCCTTGCTTTATTTTGAAAATGTCCTCCATTCTTTTTTCGACTTTTTGAGCTCCCGAGTGTGCTTTGATAAATGAATCTGCAAGCTCAGCAAAAGAATCTATAGAATTTTCGGGTAAAAGAGAATACCATGTTAATGTTCCCTTAGTGAGTAATTCTCCGAATTTTTTGACCAATACTGATTCAATTTCTTGCTTGGTCAAGTCGTTGCTTTTTACACCGGTCTCGAATGCAGTCACGTGATCCCGATGATCAGATGTCCCATCGTATTTCGGAATATCGAGCATCTTGAACTTCTTTGGAATTGGTAAAGGAGCGACACTTGGCTTCCAAGGTTGTTGATAGTATTTGTCCATGTCTATTCCGTTGATTACAGGCGACACTCCATGTATCTGCTCTATGCGATTGTTCTGCTCCTTGAGCTGTTTCTGCAAGGTTAGTACTAAACTTTGTAAATCAGAATTAATTGGGTTACCTGACCCTCCATCTCGAGATTCGCTAGGAGTTCCTCAATTGGCTGAGTTAACGAGTCCTGAGCGAGGATTTTCCACGGTGTTGTTGTTTGGAGTTGGTATTGGTAGCACAACACCTGGCAGCTGGTTAGCAAAGGCCCGAAGAGCATTACTGACCTGTTGGGCTATTAATTTTTTCAAAGCTTCATCCATAGCTTGCTCATGGTCGAGCTGCTCATTCATATTTGACTAAGATTCGTCAGGAGTCCCCTCTCGGGATTGTCGAGGAGAATTTCGTTCTGAGGGAACTGGAGTTCCACCATCTTGTTGATTCTCCTGGTGTTGCTGATTTTGCTGGTTGTTATCGTTGACATTCGACATGATTATTTGAACAGAAGAATCGATTTAGAAAGTGAAAGATTATCAGATTCCCGGTAGTAGAACCAATTTGTTTAACTAGAAAATAGGAATTCGGTCAAAGCTAATATTTTAGAAGACTCGGGTTACTGATAATCAAGAAAATTAGATAGAAATAATTAGACTTGTAATAAGAAAGCGTAGAAGTAAATGTATTTCAGTAGTGATTCGAACGTGTCTCTACAAGTGATATTTTCTTCCCTTTTATAGGGAATTTCTTAATATAACGCCTACTCTTCTTAATGATTGAGCATTACTGACTAATAATATCATTAATGCAACGTTACAATAGGTAATCGTAACTGTTGCGTGAAGATTATGTAACGTTTGGCTCATTGATTGAAGATCTTTGAATCTGCCCTTTATTCTGCCTTGGTTCATTCTGACCGTGTCTCTTCAACTCCTCAATTAGACCGAGGTTCCCGCATCTAATTGTCTCGTGGATATGTTGTTTCGTTCCTCTTTGTTTCGTACCTCTTTGTAAATTTGTGACCAGCTGTCATGTTTTTATTGCTCCACATGGATCGCCTTGTCATCAGAAACTTCACACGTGTGAAGTCTATTTTTTACCAATACAATTGGTTTTACCAATTCACTAATGATGCACCGTCACACTTGACACTAAAATTTATTTGGAAAATAATGCAACATTGTAGAAAAGAGGGGAGAAGTTTTCAGATTTTCTATATTTGAAAAATGAGGCCAAGCCTTAAATTTATAGACAAAGGAAAGGTGATATGGAGAGGTGCAATCCAAAAGTTGCCTCTTCCATTTCCCACTCACACCCTTTAAAGAAAAAACACAACACTTCTAAATTAATGTATTATGGATAAGTAATTGTATTTTTTGTCAATTAAAATTTATTGTGTCTAGTCTTTGTTTTGATGGATTGGCTGATTCCCTTTTTTTTTGTAATTAACCAATCTTTATATTGATCACCAATATAACTGTACAAAACCATAGCTTTGCTCACACAGCTAGCTATGATCTTTTACATACTCCAAAACTTAGCCTATGTATGCATGCATACATTGGCTGTTTCCCTTGTAGTGTGCAAATGTGAAATGTCCCAAGGGAAAAATTTAATTATCTTTATCTAGGGGTACATGAAATATTACATAATTCTTGGATTGTCTAGACTCAAGTACTGAATGCATGTTTGGATGTTAAACAGAAGTATGTGAATTTTAAATAAATTTATCTAATTAGAAAGTCTAAATCATTAATGTTTGAGTCAAAATTTGTTTAATACTTTTTAAGCAAATCAGTCAATATAGATGAAGGGGTAAATCGTAGTCAACACTAATTAATACTGGATCAAAGAACATAATCATAAAGATAGAAGAATCAAATGAAACGACACCTGGGAGGTTTTTATTGATTATAAAAATTCGGCCTGCCTCTCCTTGGAGAGGTTCAGGAGATTACAATCGAATTCTTTCTTCCTCCTTGGAGGTGGAATCTCTCTCTCATGGAGTTCTCCCCTATTTTCCCTGGATCCCCTCCTCCCCCTCCTTAAGGGGTTCTTCTGCCCTCTATTTATAGCCCAAAACTTCTCATGCTTATCATATTTCGTTCGGGCCGGGTCGGGGAGGTGACCTCCCCTCATGGGGAGGCCTCGACCTCGACGCTCATGTCGTAAATAACTGCGATTAGGTAAAGTCGAGTTTGTTGATTACTGCTGCAGGGCGGTCGGGACGGGATCATTGCTGTTGTGGTCGTGTGGTCAGATTTTGACCAATACAGTTAGCCCCTCCGTTCGTCGGGTTCGTATCTTACCGACCTCGGCGGACGGATAATGTTTATGACGGTGGAGGGAGTCAGATCCGCGTGTTTTTCTTTGGTCGTGTTGTAAATTTCGAAACTGCCCGGAGGCGTCTTTCTAATACCCTTATGCCGTCACGACGGTTTCGAAACCGAAGAGCCGGTTGATAGATGAAACGTAGCTTTGTACCAGCGGTCACAGTGGCGCATGTTACCAAGGAGCTGAATTGTTTCATGCCCGGCCAGGTTCTGGCGACGACCGTTGGTTTTTGTGCCCTGGAGAATTTGTGTCTTATAAATTGAAGGGGTTTGTCACTCGTTTTCACACTTAATCGCTCATCTTCGAGAGAATTCCCAGAATATCTCCCTTTCTATTAGTCTGAGCTCTTCTTGACTCCTTTGCTCGCGGCAATCTTGGGCTTTCTCGCTTCTTCCTCAAAGTTCCTCCCTCCTCTTTTTGTGAGTTAAAGATGACAGGAACTTCTTCTCACGATAATCTTACGGCTATCTCTCCGGCGGCCGGGGACCCTGCTCCGGCAGACGGAGACGTAGACTCGATGGAGTGCGAAGATGTTCCTTCAGTATAGCAAATTTTGTCCCGCCCGGGGAAGGCTGTGGTGGATTTCAGCGCCGATGGTGGTGCGGAGCAGGTAAATATTCCTCCCCTCATAGGGGAGATCGGAATAGCGGATTTAAGGGCACGATGGGGTATTCCTGGTTATGTCGAGATGGTGCCGGCAAAGAGAGAAGATAGGGTCCAGATCGACCATCCCGGGTTCTGCTCGTTCTATGCTTACCCCTTCCTAGTGGGGTACACACTTCCGCTTCCAATGTTGGTGGTCGACTTCTGCCGCTATTATGAGGTGTGTCCTGCCCAACTCTCTCCTTACCTGTACAAAGCTGTTCCTCATGTTTATCAAGTACGCGGAGCTAGCCGGTC